CATCGAGCATGGGTCTCGATCCTAGCCCTCGAGCCTTACCTTCGATCATGTCCTCGAGCTGGACCTTCGATCGTGGCCTCGAGCTGGACCTTCGATCATGGCTTCGATACTGAGCCCCGTCCCTAGCTTCAACTCAGGCCTCGATCGTGGGCTCGATATCTGGGTTCGATCTGGGGCTCGATCACAACCCAGAATATACAGCAGAAGGGAAAATTGTAGCAGCTTTTAAGTCCACTTTTTGATCCGTTAACCATCCGAAACTCACCCGAGGCCCTCGGGATCTCAACCAAATACACCAACAAGTCCTAAAACTTCATACGAACTTAATCAAACCTCTAAATCACATCAAACAACGCTAAAATCATGAATCATACCCCAATTCAAGCTTAATGAAATTAAGAGTTTTCAACTTCTACATTCGATGTCGGAACCTATCAAATCAACTCCGATTGACCTCAAATTTTACACACAAGTCATAAATAACATAACGGAGCTATAAAAATTTTTGAAACTGGATTCCGACTCCGGTATCAAAAGTCAACTCATCGGTCAAACTTCCAAACTTAAATTCTTGTTTTTAGCCATTTCAAGCCTAATTTAACTACGGCCTTCCAAAAAAAATTTCGAACATGCTCCTAAGTCCAAAATTACCATATAGTCCTACCAAAACTGTCAAAATACCGATCCAAGTCCGTTTGCTCAAAATGTTGACCAAAGTCAAACTTGCCCTTTTAAAGCCAACTTAAGGAACCAAGTGTTCCGATTTCAACCCAAACACTTCCAAATCCCGAACCAACCATCCCCACAAAGTCATAAATCATTAAAGCACATACGAAAAGTTTTATTTAAGGAAATGGGGTTCTAAAAGTCGAAACGGTCGGTTGGGTCGTTACAAAAATGATCCTACTAGGGATAACCAGGCATGTGGCTTGTTCTTCTAGGTTTTAAAACTCCTAGGGGATGAGGTGTATCTAGACTAGGCATAAAACGAGCGGACAACTCGAATTGGGAAGGGATAGCGTACCAGGAGCAATACTTCTCCGGCTTAACTACTGGACCCTTCCCGTTCTTAAATATGGATGACTAATAATCTTTCACCGGGAGCCCAGGCCCACCGGCGTAATCTCAAAAAGAATGGGGTGCGTATCCGCGATTCCCGAGATTGTATTCAGAAGACTTTGAGGGGGTTCGCAAAAAGATAATTTATAATACAGTTCAATAATATCAAAGCGGTAAAGAGCACACAAGTAGCACATTAGGCCCAAATAGATCACAGTTATATACAAAAATTATTAAAGCCAAATAAAGTCAATGTACAAGCTCGAATTCTTTAACAATCTCCAGCAGAGTCGCTAGAGCTGTCACACCCATTTTCTACCCCCCAAATAGATAATATGTGTTTTATGGATTGTTTTAGGTTAAATAGTTTTTTCAATTAAAGTGACAAATTTGAGTAGGAATTATTTTATTTACAGAATCTCCATTTGAAATTGATTTTTTGGGTGTTCCAAGTCAACTTTTTTTTGAATCCCTAGTCAAAGGAAGGTTTGACTCTATTATTATTGGTTTGCGAAAACAAAGTCCGGGTACGAAATTCTATTGACCGGGGAGAAGGTGTAAGGCATTCCCCGAGTCCCGTGGTTCTAGCACGGTCGCTTTATTGACTACATTTGGCTTATATTATTTTTGGATAACCTGTGTTTTATTGGTTCTCATGTTTTACCTATGTCCGCTTTTATTGCTTGATTAGATATATGAAAATTATCTTGAAATAAGTCACGCGTACGTGTACTCATTTTTGTTTGGCGTCAAGAATCATGTCACGCGTACGTGTACACAATCAATAATACATTTATTATTATTATTCGAAGTTGATTGGTCAAGTCACGTGAACGCGCACTTGAGTTGAGATTTGCATATCATGACTATGTCACGGGAATCGTACCCATAGTCACGATGATTTATTAATCGTGCCTAAAGAAAGCTACGATGTTCATGAGTTTAAATATTTTCCTATTAGAATTGAGGTTATTTTGGCATAGAGTTTATGGAAAAGAAATGGGTCAACTTCGATTGTTATGAGAATAAGTCAGACTATTGCTTCACTATTTGGCTAAACTTAAATTAGTTACTTTATTAAAGAGATGGATTAAGCTTAAAAGTTTTCTCTTCCTTAGTCTGACAGAAGGCAACTTGGACAAATACTACTCCCACGCAAACCCAAATTTCTTACAAAAAAATAAAATACTAACCCCATCAAGCCAAGATCACATGCAATCTATTGGCCCTTCAATTATTGATCCACGATTATCATATTAAACAAATAATTAGACCAAACACTGCATATAAAATCAACCAAAAGCACTTACTAGTAAGCAATCTTAACACTAACCTACTAAAATATCAGTAAATAAATTCAGAGTAATAAAGAACACAACGACGAATCCAACTTGAAATACTTAAACATCAAAATAAAACCAAGCATGTAACAATATTGAAATGACCTTTTAATAGCAACTCCTTAGATTAAATAAGAAGAACCTCCTTTAAAGGACCGTACAGTAAATCCGACCGAAATCCACGACGGAGCTCGAACGCGACCTCGATGGCAATGGCTTTTGACGACATTTTTGGTGGCTGTTCAAAGACTGTTTTTCAACTGATTTCATAGCTGATTTGCAGTAGTTTTGGAGCTAGTTCGACGAAAAAGATGGTGGTAAAGAGCTGGTTGTTTTTGGTTGGTTATGGCGTCAATGGAGTCAATTATGGTGTTTTGTGGTGCTTTAATGACTGATTTGAAGTAGTTGGTTCCTTGGTATTTGTAGGTGGTCACGTAGCTATTGAGGGGCGATTTTTGGAGCTGCTATATGGCTGTGAAGATGGGTTATTCGAGCGGCTCTAATGGGGGAAATAGAGATGATTTTGTGTGAGAGAAAACCAAGATAAGGGACAGCGGTAGTCTTTTTTTTTTTCTAGAGTTTAGGATTCCTCTAAGGGGATGTTCTGTCCGTTTTTGCCGAAGAAGAAAGGAGTTAGGGGTTGTTTTAATGGGTAGGGAGAGTGGCATGGAGTTTGTGAGTGGGGGACAAGCATGGGGGATAAGGAGTGGGGGACAAGGGAAAGTGGAGTATAAAGAGTGGGGGACAAATGAAAGTGGAGTGGGGACACGCGTGGGAAGATGAGAGCGGAAATGATGGAGTGAAAAGTGNAAACAATATAATTTTTCGACAAAGGAGTATCGATTAATACCCTTCGAATATATGTGTCTCCGCCGCTGGTATCAAAAGCATGTTAGTAAGTTCAGAGATTAGAAAACCATTTTCTCATGCACCTCATTGCTCTATTTTGCTTCCCTATAACAATGTTTAAATGACAACATTATGTTGAAGAATGATAAGCTATGCTTCCCTGATTGTGCTATCAATTTGCCAAAGGTGGGTTGAATTTGTTATTCAACAGATCAATGACCAGTTTGGAATCACATTCCAATATCATTATTCTAATATACATACCCATTGGAATGGCACCCTTACTTTTATCCTTATCAAAACAATGTCTCTTTTCTATAAGGAAAAGTTCATGTTTTTTAAAATGTTAGAGGGGCTCCACTTCTTTACAAAAACTCTTGATAACTATAGTGCTTATATAATTAGAGTAAAGCTAGTCAATCAGAACATGGCTTGCAACTCTGAACAATTCCTTCCATTATCAAGACTCAAAAAGTTGATCCACACTTTACACCTGTTCATCCTATAAAGTTGTCCTATATAAGCAACTGGGAACTTCAATCCATTCAACTCCAACAAACAAAGAAAACACACACAATCTCAACCAAAAATCCATGGCAACTACTTCCACTCTATTCATTAAAGAATTCATGGAAAACTTCCACTATTCAAGAAGGCTACTCCTGGAGGCTACCGTGGCGCCGCCTCCGGCAGCCAAAATAAGCCATGACCCATCTGATCTAGTACCACTTGGTAACAACATCAACACATTTGATGCAAATGTTATTATGGTCTTGGCCGTACTTGTATTTGCCTTAATTTGTTCACTTGTCTTCAACTCCATCATAAAGTGTGCATTTACGTGCTCTAACCTGGTATCAGCGTCACTCTCATCCTCAAACCATAGAAACCCTTCAGCCGCAAAGCTAGCTAATACAGGAATTAAGAAAAAAGCCCTCAACACATTCCCAGTTATAACCTATACTACTGAATTGAAACATCCAGGGCTTGACTCTGAGTGTGTAATTTGCTTATCAGAATTTGGAGTTGGAGAAAAAGTTAAGGTTCTGCCTAAGTGCAACCATGGGTTCCACGTCAAGTGTATTGATAAATGGCTGAATTCCCACTCTTCTTGCCCTACTTGTAGGCACTGCCTTATTGAAACTTGCCAAAAATTTGTACACGGAGGCACTTCTGTTACTACAACTGCAATTCCAAACACTCAAGTAGCTCAAGATATCGTAATAAGGATTGAACCTCTCCAACGTGAAGGTGTTACATCTAATAACAATCAAAATTTGGTAGAAAATAGTAGTGTCTAGTCTTTAGTTGATTGGTATGTACCACAAATTAAATTCAATTGTTTCTGTACTTATTTGGAAAAGTTTTAGCTAGCTGGATTGAGGCCAATGCCGATGTAGTTTTCAAATGATTAATCATTAGTCTTGCAAGTGTATATAAATTAAATTTCATTATTCGTTTCTTTATTAAACTTATGTTCCTTCTTGTCAAAAGATTGTTCTTTTCATTATTCAGAGACATTATTATAGGCAATCAAGCGATTTATAAAACTAAGCTTTATTCTATTATATATATATATATATATATATATAAATTCTACTTTAATTTTATCTAGTTCCCCGTTGAGTTGTTTTCCTTTTAATTTCTCTGTTCGTTTTCTTTTGTGGGGCGAGGGTTGGGGTTCTTACATTATGATGACGATCAAGTTGAGTATTGTACTTTTCATGATAACTTAGAAGATCGACAAGAAATTTTTTATTAAATACTTAGTCACATATGTTTACCCAAAAAAACGGATAGAATTGATTTTATGCGTAATTCTAAGAATACGTGGTATAATTTGGTACAAATTGGAAAAATAAGCAAATGTATATTTAAATTAGCCGTAAAAGGAATGAATACAAACCCTAAATTGAATGGGGAGTGATTGATAAGAGAGCAATATGAATCAATAACAAAGCCAAAAAAGGATAGTATTTGCTTGATGTGTCAATTTTTGTGAAGCTGAATAATGTTTTTCTTTTACAAATGATAACCACTCTTAATATAGTGGAGAAATTCTACTTTGAGTATAATTAAAAATACATAGTGGAGATCCCATGATAGATTAATTAATTAGTTTTTTCTTGATTCAAGCCATGATTTCTGCCGAGATTCTCCCTCCAAATGCGGCTATAACGGCTTTTTTGTTCCTTGGCTCGATCTCGATCTTAACCGGTCTTAATCTTGATCGGTCTCTGGGTCTCGAACTCGATCTTTGCCGATCTCGATATTGATCGGTCTCGATATTGATCGGTATCTTAACTCGATCTCGATCTTGACCGATCTCGATATTGATCGGTCTCCTGGCTCGATCTCGATCTTGACTAATCTCGATATTGACCGGTCTTAATATTGATTGGTCTATGGGGCTCGAGCTCGACAACCTATCTTCACATCATGGCTTGATACTTACAATGATGAACCATAGACCATCATGTTCCAATCTCGATAAGTCAAAAGAAAGGGCACACTCGATTTTGACCGTATACAGATAGTCCCCTTGTTTCTCGAAAAGAAGATGACGAGAAACGATATGAATTTTCGAATTTCGACTTGTGGATGACGATGTCACCGACGAGCCCGATTATGACGTACGTTCCAAATATCCTGTCAGTCCAGTTACCAAGGCATTAAATGTTTGTCAGTCGTTGGTCGGCCACTACCGGTTCTGAACCGTCATCACCAGGCCTATAAATATTCAAACTCTCATCCTCATCCAAACTTTTCACTCAAAAGCCTCTTCTCTACTTTTGTATCTTCTTCAGAAAATCCCTCTGCTTTATATACTTTTCATCGCATACAACCTCAATTCTCTTTTCCTTCATTCATCAATGGCGAAAACGTTCAAAATGGTGCCGCAAAAAGAGGCCGCTTCTTCATCACGACCTACCGGCAGCGAGGATGCGGCGGAGACCCGTCCTGGGGAGTTCGTTCCGATAGGGTGCTCAATTGTCATCAATTTTAAGGTTGAAAAACCTTCTTCGGTACCGGGGCTGATGTGAGCCGATCTCGAGGTACCAGTGTTCAATCACCGAAAAAATTCTCAATAAAGTAAAAAAGGAATGCAACTGGGGCAACAAGCACACGGTAGTCCTATCGCCTGAGGAATTAATTACTACCCACATGGAAGAGTTCTTAAGTATTTATACTTATCCTTTCACGTTGGGCCCATTAGATCCTGTCATCGTCGCCTTTTGCAAAAGGTATGTCGTGACACTAGGCCAGATCCACCCTTCATTTTGGAGAATAGTGATTCTCCTCCGATTTTTCTCAAGCAAAATCGAGGGGTGTTCTTTCACCCTCGATCACCTAATGCGCCTTTATAGTCCCCGACTCTATCGAGGAGGGTTAATAAATCTTGCTCGCCGAGCCACCAAAGCGTCGTTCTTGAGTATAGACGAGACTCGTGATCGAGGTTGGATGGGCCGATTTGTTCGAGTCAAAACCTCGGACCTCATCCCTGCCGATGACATGCCGTTTCCTGAGAAATAGAATATGAACTGTGAGTACTTATTTCCCTTCGAATATTTTTATTTGTGACTTCCTTTCATTTTCTTGATCCACTTTTTCTTTTCCGTTAAAGTTATAGCTCGAATGTCGGAACCAATTCCGGACCTTAAACAATAGGTTGAAGGCCTTGTGCTGCAGAGACCGCACTCCGAGCGCGCTTGGGTGAAACTATCAAAAGGTTGATGGGAGGCCCGTAGTCATGGTAAGTCTCTTTCTTAGTTTGTTTGTCGTTCGATCTTCTTCACTTACTTACCCTCTTTTTTTCTTTTTTAGGACTTGGGAAGGACGTTGTCATGAGGCCCCCATCTGGTGATGAGGAGGTCCCTGCCATGAAGCAGGTTAAAGAGAAGAAGAGAAAAGATGCACTGAGTTCCCCGGTCTCGGAGAAGCAAAAACCAGTGAAGAGAACTCGCAAGCCCAAGGGGGGCTCCGATAGCATGCCTTTAGATTCGATTCGCTGATTAAGGTACGAGCCCGAAGAAGAAGAAGAGGAGTTAGCATGTGTGCGGGCCAATGTTATGATACAGCAATCCTCCGAATCGGCAGAGGTCAATAAAGGAGTTCTGGCCGTGATTCCCGGACAGGGAAAAGCTGATTTTGTTCTGTCCCGAGATAAGGTGGTCGAAAGGGAGACCGAGGACAGACTTCTCGAGCAGTAGAAGATATCTCGAGGGACGATCTCAGGATATTCGACATTACTGGATCCCCTCAGATTTCGACTGTCATGATCTGTGAGGCCAACATGCTGGAGGGTCGAGCTTACGAGGGTATTCAGGAGTCATCGATATTCACGGCTTTCAGGAAGGGCTCGAGTCTTCCACCTCAGAGGATATTGTCGGGTTCGGTGGGTTGCCGATGCCGAAGAAAGCACCATGTCCGGGTGCCATTGGGTCTTCATCGAGCCAAAAATTGGTGGATCGATTCCCGGCTCCGAGCGCCAATCCCGATCGTAAGCGAAAGATAGTGCTATGTGTCCCGGAGGATGTCAGAGTTTTCTCTCCCCCTGTGGGGATTGCTAGTTACCTTCGGACCTTGGTGACCGAAGAGGACCAAATCGTGATGAATGCGGTAAGACCCGCTTGCCTTTTCAACGAGGCCCAACATGCTCTGAATCGGGTAATTTCAATGGTACCTCTGATGTTTCTTTTATATTTAGAGTTGTAGGTAATTCTAACATCGTTTCCCATTTTTGTAGGCCTCGGTGTTGCATCACGAGGCTTTCCTCCGAATTCGGGAGGAGCATCGAGCTGAAGTTCAGAACCTCACTGAGAAGAGTGACTCCTATAAACTTCTCAGTAAGAAGCTTTGGGCAGATTTGGAAACGGCTCGGGATGAGCACGTGGAAATGTCTAAGCAGGTATTCCGAATTCTTCACGATAGCGAATACAAACTGGAGGTAACCACTAACGATCCGATTCTGCAGGTTCGACAAAGGCTCGAGCAGATCGGATGGCTCAATTTGTAGGTAGATGGGCTATTGGCAGAGGCGAAAGAATTCAAAAAGAATATGGACATCCTTGCCTCGAAAAAGGAGGTTGTTCAAGCTCAATTGGAGTCGGCTGAGACCCAATTTTGGGCTGCAAGAGAAAACGCCTCGGTGCAGATCAAAAAGATAAAGGAGCTTTAGCATCAGTTGGACTTGGCCACTTCTGATAAGGCAAGCTTGGCCGACAAACTCGAAGTGGCTAGATCTGAGGTAGCCGAGTTTAATAAAAAAAGCTGATGCTAAGGTGGCCCAATTCAGGATTGACGTTGAAGCCAATCAGGCCAAAGCCAGGAGCATGATCGAATATGCTAAATGGCATGCTCGGAGGGAAGCTCTCGAGGAGGTCAGTGCTCAAGGTTTTGATGTTGCGGCCAAAATTAAAAATGCCAAGGCGGAGAAAACCAAGGCCCGAAGGCTGGCCTTCCCTGAGGAGGACTCCGGGAGCTCGGGAGAATCTGAAGACGGAGAAAATTCCGAGGGTGCAACCTCCGATGTAGATTAGGCCACTTAGGACATTATGTTTCTTTCTTTTTTCTGGGGCCGATTCGGCCTTTTGTAAAAACTTTCGAATATAAATATAAAGCTTTTCTTGCCCTTTTGGTTCTTGGGTTTTTCCTTTGTTGTTCTGTATTTTACAAAGGAGTCCGAGGTTTAGACAATTCGATTGGAACTGAATTAGTATAGCCCTTAGACTTTATGATCGAGTGAGTGCTTGCTCGAACTCGAAGTAGGGTAAACCTTAGGTTTTTTGAGCGAGGATGGTCTTCTCGAACTCAAGGTAAAAAATAGCCCTTAGGCTTTTGTAAAAAGATTGTTCAAGGCTTTGTCCCCTTTTTGGCTTGAATTTTTTTTTATCATTTGTATTTGTAATGCCTTGGCATAAAATAAGGAATTGTTCGAGAGTTCAAACAATTTTGTACTCTTTAGAGTTTTTGAGGCTTGATATTGTCGAAGCCTTTTATGATTTTGCCGGGGGAAGCATTTTTTAATTGGTTTATGAAAGAATTCGAAGGCCTGTTTTATTACAGAGTTCGGACGTCTCCGACCCGTGTTGGTTCGGCCGTAGCCTTTTTAGTTCGGGATTTGCCTCTTGGGCTTATTTTCCCATTTTACTTCGAGCTTTCCCGAAGTGTCAGTCCCCGAGTGGGGTGGCCGTGGCCTATAAAATCAAGGGTTGCCTAAAAAGTCTTATGATCTCGGAGTTTATATAATTCGATCTCGTTGATTTTTCGGACGGCAATCCCCGATTTGTGGGGGTAATCATTCGAACTCCGGTCATGGTCGGCCCTTAAGCCTGTTTGCATAATAGATCGAGAATATGAAGTAGAAGAACCTTTATGAGGTATGAGATATCAGTAAAGAAGAAATTTCTCTTCATAATTCATT